TGAAATTTGGTGCCATTATAATAGCCTCTTCGGGAGAGTTCGGCGAAGTTCTTGCAAGTCTTGGGCGCTTCCTTCCAATACAACTCGAACACAATCTCACCCATACTTCGAGGCCATGGATCAGGTCATCGGTCGGGTCACCGAACGGATCAGATAGAAATGTGAGCACACGTTTGGCGGCATTGCCCACCATATTATCTCATACCTGGTCTCAAACGCCACATTCTTTGGCTGCCACTTGTCGTCGGGAATCGCCATCGATATTGACCACGGATTACAAGACAAGACAATCGATTGATTTAATTGTGATTTCAATTCAAAGCCAAACGAAATAATAATTGATTTTTCGAAACTCTATTCAAAATTTGAGTGAAATTTGTTGTCCATAAATATCGTCCGAAAATTGTTTTAGTTTTTTGTTTGAAAATTACCGATAAATCGGTGATTAGATCCGCATTTGTCTGGAAATGAGTATTAAATGCATACATGATATTGAATCGGTGGACACCTATTGTGCGCTACATGTGGTCAACACTTGTGTCAAATAGATTTCACATCCAATTTGGGATCAAAGAGGACACAAGTGATTGACAAACAAACAAAACTCAATTTAGATCCAATCGTATATCCGATAAAACAATTAACATTACATGTGGTCAACACTTGTGTCAAATAGATTTCACATCCAATTTGGGATCAAAGAGGACACAAGTGATTGACAAACAAACAAAACTCAATTTAGATCCAATCGTATATCCGATAAAACAATTAACATTTAATCAATTACTTCACCGCTTGTTATCTCATTATTATTATAATAATTCATTTTAATTCAATTATTACTTTTAAACATACATTTAAGGTATGGATTAATTGGTAATCATTTCTTATAATAACAGTAAAAGTAATTATAAAATAAAATCAATTAATAGTTAGAAAGAATAAAATGTAATAATTTTGGCCAACAATAGGACACAACCGACGATTATGTCATACTTTCAATCAGCGATTGTCTCAGCGATGTCTTGATAGCGTTAGGGCCGACGGCATCGTTCAGTTTGAATATACTCTCGATTACAGAGATCTCAGTGGATGTGGTGTCGAACCCGCAAAAGGCCGACCAATCGTTGACAACCATTCCGGCGCCGATCACTTCACTGCCTCTGTTGACAGTTCCGGCAATCAGTGGTATCTGAAGAAGTGATGACAACTCATTCTGAGACTCCACGGGAATGCGAGGGTGTAATAGACCGCCTAAACCAATGCAAACACATTATGGTTAATACAATACATAACTCGCGATACAATCATCTTATAATCAATTGATCCATACCTTGATTAGAGAGCGAACAATAGGAGCCGACGAGCACTTGATTGGCAACGGTTTGCCGGAAGACCTCCACCTTAAGGGTGTCGACAATGATCTCTTCGGTCTCTCTGTCCAAATCGGGATGAACTAAAGCCACGTAATCATTATTGGCCACAACATTGCCCAACGCCGAGAGGCGCTCTTCGACGCGCTGTATGCGGACGCTGTCGGGCAAAGAGTTGCGGATGTGTTGCAACTCCTGATCGGTGGTCGAGTTGGGAACGAGCAGTCCGTGACGGTTGCCGACAGTCATGCGGCCGACGATACGACAGCCGGCGATCGACGCGTGGATTACGGGAATCGTTTCCGACAGTTCCGACTCGAAGACTGAGTAGAAGTTTTC